CATTAGTTCGCATATTCTGGAACCAGCCAGCTCACATTGGAGCCCAAGTTCCGCCACTTCCTCCTGGAGACACTGGGCAGGGTACCTGCGTGTCTCTTGGCTAATGTTTGGGGTTAAAACAGCACCCACAAAGGGAGGAGACTTGGCCATTTTTTCAAGCTGCTTAGGTGAAAACTGGAGAGGAAGCAAGGGCAGTGGGTGCACTGCTTGGGGAAGCTGTGTGAAGAGAACCAGGAAGTCGCGGTGCACTTAAGGGAACCAGGGAGCAGTGGAGCACAGGGCTCGGGCTATATTTTGTTTCCCAACAAAAGCAAAGTGGAGGAAAAGGAGCCAGCGGATAGGAAGACAGGAGAGGTACGGGTAGGGAGGCTTCAGAGCCGGATGATGGGTAAGAGGACCCAGGGAATTCTCTAGATTGTGTCTGTTCTTCAAAAGCTTCCTCATGGACATCTTCAGGCTGACTGCGGGCTAACAGAGTGCTGGGCACACAGAGCCAGGGGATCTGTGATCCCACATCTAAAGCACCCTTGGCCAAACCTCTGACAGTCACAGGATCCACAAATAGAGGACAAGGAGCAAAAGCTGGACTGCATAGGTGTCCATGAGTGACCGTTCACATGTCAATCCTTTTACCACAATAGCTACAGGAAAATAATTCAGTCCAAGAGCCAGATTCAAGTTGGTGGATCACCCTCATCCTATACAAACACGTTGATAACCTTTAATATCTTCAATGAATTCTTTCAAACATCCTATAATCTGGCTTCATGAGTAACACGCTGCAACTGAAACACTCGGACTCTCACATCCAGACGGAGGACCCGCCTTGCTCTGGAGCTTGAGGAAGATCGCATATATCTGTGGCTAGGGCAGAACGCAGCATATGTGCAGGTTGATGTGAGGCACGAGCAAGAGGAGCTGCCTGTCCCACACTTTGCTGGGGATGGAAGGCAGCGTATCAAAGGGAGGAAACAGTCAATGAAAATAAAAACGAAATAGTATTTGGGTTCTCATGTGTACTAAGGTTCGTTTAGTCCTTGACCTTCTGATCTTAGCCATGGAGAGTCAGCTATCTGCCTAGAATTCTATTTTATTCAGTGCTTATTGGGCTCTGATTAGGAATGAGACTGAGAACATGCAGACTTCCCAAGAACAACTCAATTAAGTATATCAAGTAACGTAAAGGTCTGTGTGGCATATGGCAGGCAATGTTTCTTCCTTTCTTTCCTATCATCCTAAGTAATCTTCTTTTAAAATACTGCTTTGATGTAGATGAAAAGCTTTGTCTTTAAAAGCTGAAGGGATTTTAGGAATTGGTAGCATGAAGGAGAAGATTATTTTCAGTTAGGCAACCTTCCCAATCCATGCACATGGTAGGTGCCTCCCCGCCCAGCTCAACACAGCTTGCCGAAAGGTACTTCCCACACTGCTGGTCCCACGTGCTAGCTCTTCGGGCCACACCTAGACTCTCCTTGTCCCACAGTAGTCCCACAGTGAGCCCCAGGGCCGCACCACTGGGAATAGCTACATGAACCGAGGTGCGTCATCTCCCTAAAGCATCCAGGAATGATGGCTGTGGAGTAGAAAACTGCTTGTCTGCAGATGGGTCAAACACAGAGGTGTCAGTTACCCAGCATTCCCTAGAGGGCCAGGCTGAGTCTGGATTCATGCAGATTCATCCCTTCCTGCTCTGTCTTTCTCCTCATTCAACTTTCTGACTTTATTATTGGCTTTTCTCAAGAAGAAGTGCTGAATAGTCAACTTACATAGAAATCCTTGGCTCTGATTCTGGGAATTCTCAACTGAAGATAACATTCATCATCATTCATTTATTCGTTCATTCAGGCAAAATGTTCGATCTGGTGCCTTCTTCTTGGTTCAATTACATTATATGAAATGTAATCTTGAATATGCTTATAGTGCTATTGGGGCCATACAGAGCACACATTTTGGATCCAAAAGAAACTCTTAAAGGATGAATAAGCCATCCTAGCTATTGAAGTAACTCACCTCGTAGGTTCTCATGAGCGATACTTGTTCAGTCTTTCTTAGGTATTACGATCTTAGGCACTGAGAAAGGGTCCATCATTTTCCTAGGATTCTCTTCAATTCAAAGCTTGTTCACTCTGATTATGAACCCAAGTGGGAGAAACTAACAGAAAGACCAATAAAGAGATGAGTGCACATGAATAGCATAAAGGCTGTAGAAGGAATGGCGTGTTCCCAAGAAAGTGAAAGGCTGGGTCTTACAGGCTAAGATTTCATTCTAAAGAGAGCTGGAGAGAGACATTTTAGGAAAAGGAAAGAGCACCCTTCGCTCATGCCGCAATCACAGTCACAGGGAGGTCTCAGAAAGAGAAAGGAGTTAAGGATTCCAGCAGTCCCCTGTGCAGGTCAGAGGTGAACCTAGAGGCATGGGCTGGAGCCACTCAGTGGTGGACTGCAGGTACTTCAGGACTCAAACCTGTCACAGTGGGAAACACTGAGCTATTTAGGATCTGCCCAGTTTTGTCTTAGAGATGATACAAAGGAGGTATGTGGAGAAACACTGGGGTCAGAACAAGAGCTAGCTATTAGGTTAAGCCAAATTTAATTTCTAACATATGACTATTTTAAAAATAGAATTTACTTTTAAATCAGTTCACATAGACTGGGGGTGGTGTCACATGCCTGTAATCTCAGCGTTTGGGAGGCTAAAAACAGGAAGATCGTTATAAATCCAATCTACTTAGTGAGACCCTACAGACCCTGTATTAAATACATTAAAAATAAAAATAAAAAAGCAGTTCACCGCAGAATTGACCCGAAGGTGCACAAATTTGCCATATCTTCCCACTTGCATGATTAATGTACATTTGTTCCACAAATGAACTTAACTCAAGCCTCATCTCCCACAGTCATAGTCTTCACGAGGGTCCTTTCTTGCTGTGGCCATGCTGTGGAGTTGGACAAATGTATAATGTCATGTGGCTGCCATTCTAGTGTGTACAGAGGAATTTTATAGTATAGAATGCAGAGTAATTTTAGGGGCAGGAGAACAACTCAACTACTTCTGACCTATCAAAACATAATTACATATGGTTCAACCTGATGCACTTGTGAAAACTAAGGCTGAAGCTTTGAAGTGTAATTTCGATGCAAAGAAGACAAGTCATTTGGGCCGGGGAGATGGCTCAATGGAATAAGCGCTTCCCTGGCAAGTGCAAGGGCCCAAGTTCAATCCCTGGTTCTGCCAAAAAAAAAAAAAAAAAAGAAGACAAGTCATTTACAAGCTTTCAGAGAATGCCTTCCTGGAACAGAAATCCCCTACTTACTTAGCACAAGCCAAGAAATGGAAAAAATACCTTGGAACAGGGCCATGCCCTTGAAATTTCAGGCACTTGGGAGGCTGAGGCAGAGTTTGACAAAGGGCTGCACAATTTAATGAGTTCCTGTCTCAAATAAAAGGAGTAGGGCTGGGGATGCAGCTCAGTGGCTGAGCACTTGCTTAGGGTGCATACGACACTGGGTTCAATCCCTAGGACCAAACAGGAAAGAAAAAAAATTGAAACCTGTGTGCGTATATGGATAACTTAGGTAATGCCGTCTGTCCAAGGGAGGCACGCTGCTTCAGAGTGGTAGTTACATTTTTTGAAAGAAAAACCACTGGCGAGCTAATACTCCAGGCTGAGGAAATACTGAATTCCATTTTGTTCTATTTTTTTTCTTGCAATAGGTTGCAAGAATCTGACTTTATTCCGCATTTTCCTGTAACAGAATTATTGAGAAGTGTATGATGATTTTTTTCAGCTATGACAAAACATTCTCTGAGAAGTTTTTTTTTTTTTTTTTTTAATGTATTTCATACAGGTTCTACAGGGTCTCACTACACAGATTGGACTAGTACTGATCCTCCTGTTTTCAGCTTCCCAAGCGCTGGGATTATAGGCTCGTGCCTCCACATCCAGTCTTCTCAGCACACCCTGGGGTCGGGGTCAGTATGGCATACCAGGGATCGAACCCTGATCCCTGTGCTTTGCCTAAGCAGGTGCTTTAGTCCACTGAACTATCTGGCTGGCTTCTCTCTGAGAAGTTTGAATTAATCCAATAGATTTATGCTATGGTTGGGAGAATGCAAGTGAGGGCCAGGACTCAGAACCAGTTTTTTGAGGTCAGTCATCCATGCTGCCTACTGACCAGGGCTGTATGCCAGGGACTGTGGTCATTTTCTAGGGATGCACTGGTAGCTGAACAAAACATGAACCCCATTGTCACAAAGCTTATACCTTAGGTATAACGACAAATATGAAACAAATTGGTGCAGAATGAGTATTAGTTTCAAATGATAATGAATTTCTTAAAAGAAAATAGTGAAAACACTCAGGCAGTGGGTTTTTCTCAAACTGAGACCTGTATACTGAGTAGGAGCTGACAAAGTGGTGAAGGAGTAGAAGAAAGCATCAGGGAGAGAGGCCAAAGGGCAAAGGCCCTGGGTGAGAAGGAGGCTAACGCTCTCTATGTTGTGCACAGATGGTCATGGCAGAAGCACACCAGAACAGGGTCAGAAGGTTGGAAATGAGTCGAGAGGTTTAGCCAGCAGCAAGATCCAACAGGACCTCCAAAGTCAAATGAAGAATCCTGGTCTTTATTGTAAGAGCAAAAGAAGTCCTGAAAACCAGAGTGATAGAATTTGATCCTCCTGCACCAAACCACTTGAAGTCAGCATCTGAGCTTTGACTAGCATGGGGATAACAGCTGTAGAGAGGGAGCAGTCCCGTAAGCCTGGGTCTCTGCTCTCAACACATGCGGGTACAAGGGGTGAAGAGTATGAGCCAAAGCACGGAAGTAGCGATGAGGTGGTCTAAGGGAGACAGAGACTAACATATGTGTACTTGCTGGCTCGTAAGCACAGGTTCATGGGCAAGGTTTGATTTCCTTCGAAGATGCTCAAGGGATTGTCATCTGCCAGCAGGAGTCATAATCAATAATTCTGTCCCCTGAAACCCTCTGTCTATTTGCAGATCAGGTACCGCACACACAAGTATGCATCCAGCTCCACGTCCTCGCCCCACCAGTGTTCCTCAACCTTGGTGTGGAGAGACCACTCGGAAAGGTGAGACACAGAAGCTACCAGAAAGCACAGTGCAGCTGCAGAGCCCGGGAGGCTCTGCTCTATTACCACGCACCTCTGACTAAGGATGATAGAGGGCTTAGAGGAGCTATTCCCGTATGAAAACTCTACTTAAAGGTCTTCCATCTATGACTTTTCTGAGGCTGTGTCCAGGCAGGTCTTGTGAAATCAATTCTCCTGCCATGGGAAAGCCGGCATGTTCCTGATTTTTCATAAGAGCAGTCTCTAGGGTATTTTAAGCCCAAGTTCCTGTTTCAATTACTCATCAGAATCCAGTGTGTTCACCACATGGCTAGCACTCTCATGCCTGCCCTTTGGATGAGATTTATTTTGTATAAAATGTATGCTTCAATGAACAAACCCTCTAGAAAACAGAGCATCATGCCCAATGTGATGCATGATTCACTCTACTGAATTTCAAGCATGAATTTCCTCCCTCAAACACCTCTTTTCAGTATTTCTATTAGGGAATACAGGTCTCTGGTATTAATTGAACACAATGCCGGCTGGGTGTTATTGAATTGTGTGACCTATTTTTTTGAGAGAGGATGTGAGAGAAATATTCTAATGATTGTTTTCATAAACAGCACGGTTAGCTAGTCAAAGAGTTGACCTTCCTTTTCAAAGCAATGTGAGCCTGCCCACCACACCCCTCTCCCTGTATGTCACACATAGTCACTTCTCTGTGGAGGACATGTTGTGTTTGTGAATGGGGACAGGCAGGCAGTGCAATTTCCTTGGTCATTTGTGTTCTCGTGCTTAAGATAACTCAGAGATCCTCATTGTCTTTCAGGGGAAGAACGGAATGTGATTTTCAGTGGCAACACAGTGTGCAGTGGGGCCCACAAGATAGGAATATGCCGGATGATTCAGAAAATAACTTAAATGTCACAAGGTCAATAGCCTTTTAGACTAAGATGGGCCCTCTACTAGCCTGCACACTCTCCTTGGTGTCTGTCAGTTGCAGACACACGAACCTTGTCATTGTTCTGTTTTAACACAGCTTGCACCCCGGAAAAACAAAGTTAAAAAAGGCATATTCTTTCCAAACTTTTTATGGGGGCAGTAGGTTCACTCTAGTATTCTTTTCATTTTTGTTTTTATTTTTGTGGTACCAGAGATTGAACTTGGGACCTTGTATTTGCCAGGCAAGTGCTTATGTTGCTCAGCTATATACCCGGCCTTATTTTTATTTTTAGAAGTAAATCTTGCTGCGTTTTCCCATATCATAATGAAGAGCTCATGATTTCTATAGAAACTTTGGAAAATGAAAAAAAAATAGAAAAGTTACTTCAGTTCTTTGTATCAGGAAAAAAATTATAGTATTTTTCTATTCTTTTTTCTCCATACTTGATTTTGTTTTACATACATATGATATTACAGATACATTATTATTTTATATCATGTAATATAAAGTAAGAATTCCTTAGACTATAAATTCTCTGTAAAGTTATTTTAGTATTTACATAAGAGTTTTTAAAAAGTGCATACTATAGTTTAATGTAACTGTAATCTGTGGTCACATCTAATACCATAATAAATAGTACTATATTATTATTTATAGACTGAAATTCGTAAGAATTTTTAATTTTTGTAATTTTGCCCATAAGAAGTCTTTGAACCATAGATAAGAAATGCATACAGTAAGACAGCCTTCCAAGTTAGAGAAATGGAGAATTTCATCAGCCATGTATGACAGTTTCTGATTTGCTATTGCTCTTAGTAGTATTGAATATGATTAAAAAATAAAGATAACATGCACTTTATTGGATCAATAAGACAAAGAAATAAATTTCATGACTATTTTACTTTGTGTACGTTCCCTCTTAGGCTTTGGTGCTTGTTTTACAGTGAGATTATTCATCCATTTGATGTACCTGTAATTGTTTTATTCATAAAACACATGTAATTACTTCAGGCAAGATGGCGTGGCAAGCAGGGATGCATATTTGTTATTTACATCTGACTCCCATGCCGGAAAAATAGAAAGAAACCTATCTGCTTATTGCGTCTTTCTCTCTCTGTTCTAACAGATACTGAAAGAATGCAGCTGGACTTTATGCGCAATCCCTGTCTCCTCAGGTTTGTGGTTTCTTCCCACCGCTGAAGGAGAAGTTCATGTTTTCATTTGGATGATAATTTTTATTTTTATCTCATTTTTATTTTCAATGTCTTTCTTGGTGGCAGTGCACCCGGGGCCAGGCTCGTCACAAATAGTGCATGCCGCTGAGTGCCAAATTGACTTCTTTGAAGGGCTCTGGACAGACTCTAAGGAGTTGGATCTGTTTTCCACGGATTATAATTGCTGGTAAAAGTGAGCAGGAGAGAGAGAGCCTCCTGGCACAGGACTTTTTTTTTTTTTTTTTTTTACCAGGGATTGAACTGAGGACCCTGTGCTCCCCAGGCAGGCATGTAAGCCTCTGAGCTACCCCCCCACCAGCTTTAGCCCAGGACTTTTCTCCAACTTCAGAACTTTACCAGATTTCAAACAGATGTGGAGATCTTTGCATTCATGGTTTGACTTTACAATATAAGTTTGGGGTCAGCCAAATAGCTCAGCAGGTTAAAACACCCCCCCACAAGCAGGCGCAGAGGCTGGGAGTTTGATGCCCGGGCCTGCTTGAGACAGCAATTGAGACTGGTTGTGGTGGTGCTCAACTATAATCCCAGCTCTTGGGAGGCTGTAAACAGGCGGATCACTACGAGTCCAGTCTAGTAGAGAGACCCTGAACACCTTGTAGGCCCTTCCCTAAATTACAAAAAAAAAACAACAAAAAACAGAAATTGACAATATAATTATCCAAACTATTCTGCACATATACAATATAAGCTTGCAAAATCTGGATAGATTTTCGACGGTAAAATGTGGACACATAGGAAGTAAGACTTCACCTCACAAGCTGGGCCCCTCAGGAGACGGTGAAGGCGGGAGGGCATGGGGGCAACAGACACTTATGCCAAGTGTGTGACTAAGGCTGCAGAGACGTGTTCCTGTGGGACAAGATTGGGAACCAAAGTTCCTAAATTTACTTGCTGGCTATGGGTCACTAAGTAAGTCAGGCATCTGCTTAATTGCGATTTCTCTGCCTTTAAAGAAAAAAGGAGGGCAGCCAAAGGCCCCCTTAAATAGTTAGTCTTGCAGTTGTGAGGACTAAATATTCAGCTAGAGGAATAAAAAAATCCAGACACAGTCCTCTGAGTCTTCCTTCATTCTTTATTTTATACTTCAATGATGATCAACTGAAGATTCCTTACATTTTTCCTAACGCTACATACAACAGGCTAAATTGAATTAATCACTGACAGTTATTCTGTATGAAATTTTACTTTTTGTGAAATAAAAGGATTTCATCTGTATTGAAATAAAAACTGCAAACTTTCAAATACTACTTGGACTTATCTTCACGTTCTCTGCTGACATGTTCTTTCTACTTTTAAGTCCAGCCAACCTCCTTTCCTCTCGGCTTTTTCCTGCTTTTGCCCCTCTTTCAGCCCCATTCACTGAGCACACATGTGCAGTGTCGCCTGTTTTGACACTGTGCTGAGGGCTGTGTGTCCTTTCACCTGTCCTGGCGGCCTCAAAGAGAGAAAACTTGGAACCAGCAAAAATAGAAATTGTCTCATTGCTATTTGTTTCTCAAATGTACGGCTGCGGAGCACAGTAGAGGGGCCTGGTGGAGGAGGGCTGCTTGTGGCATGGTGGGCAGGAAGCATTGAGACATCAGGGGAGGAGCAGGGAGAAAGCCCCTTCCAGGCCACACCCCAGTGACCTCCACCAATCAGGCTTCACTTCCTAGCATCACCTCTGTGCACTAATCCATTGATAAGCACCACCCCTCTCCAATCCCCTGTGATCTCTGCCTATGAGCCCACAAGGCTTCCTCGGGAAATTGAAACACGAACTATATCACCATGTTAGCAGTTTAAAATGTAAACAAGTGTAACAGAGCCCTCTGTTTTGGTGTTGTCACTCAACTTGACAAACTCTATGTTAAACGTCCCTGATTTAAAAATGTCTCCAGCTCAGTGGAATAATCACATTCATTTTAGTGTAATCATGTTTATTAAAATTCTTGCTAAGAAAATTTGTAAGGTAACTGGAATACTTTGGAAAATAATGACTATTTGACAAAGATATCACTCATGAAACAGAATCATCTTTTCTAAATAGTTTGAAGCCTGATATAAAGAAAATATAAGCCTACTTAAAATATTTCTGATACTTACTTTAAAGTAAGCTTTAAGTTTTAGAGCAGTTTCCATTTTGCAGCAGAGCTGAGTGAAAATTAAAAGGGAAATTTCAGTTAGACTTCACAGAAACCCATGGGACACTAACAAGGAGCACCTGAAACCCTGTACTCTGTTACCTACGCATTCAGACGTTCAGGGCCCTGACTCTGCAATACAGTTTGTGGTTTCTACAAGTGCCTTCATCTTTCTCGATGTTACTGTCTTTGTAAACAGAGATTCTCAGCATTGTGTAGTGAGGTTTTCATGGTGAGAAAATTCACCCTTGAAACAAAATATACAATATATTAATTATTGAAACTGCCCTACTAATTGGTTTTGAAATTGTCTCATTGCTATTTGTTTCTCAATAAAATTAATTAAAGAAAAAGAATGAGAAAAAAAGAATATGAGCTACTAATCTTCTTGTGTAGGGTAAATCTCTAAAACAAATTACATGCTGTGTAAAAGTAAGTGTGAAAACCACAGATAACCTACTTGCGTGTTTATCTAATTCTTCCAACAATAAAATGTTCCACTAACCTTCCAAAAAACAAACAAACTAGTTCTTCAAGAACTCTGCCAGAAAACATTATAAGTGGGCAAATGCTGATTGATAGTTTCATTATAATTATAGAAACTGGTAGAAAGCTCTATGGATTATATAATCAAAACATATAATAAGGTTCGATCCCCGGGCTGCCTTTCTGGCCCCGCCCCTGGGGCGTGCTGAGCCGGCGATTGAAACTGAGCATGGTGGCACACACCTGTAATCCCAGCTGTTGGGATTACTATGATTCCGATCTACGTAGTGAGACCCTTAGACCCTGTAGTCCCTTACCAATAAATAAGTAAAAATATGCTTTATAAGTGGCCTCTCTGTACATGCTTTGATATATACATGATATTGAATACGTATATATATACGTATATGTATATATCAGTATGTATAATAGTGCTAATGTACAAGGACATAAAAATGTAGCATGTATTTGAATTTAAAAAATTATATGAAAAGACATATTGCCACTAATCCTTGTCAAAATACTCTCCTTCACTTTGAAAACTCGTATCCCATCACTCTTGTCACTTTCTGCAGCAGTAATACAAGTCATCTTTCACGACTGTTTCTATGAGAAGTGATTAAAAACTGCAGTGAATGCTGCGGCGGAGGCCACCCAGTGGGGAAGGCGGGCTCGTAAAGAGGTTCTGGTGTGTCCTCATCCACCTCATTCACCAGGCCTGGGGCCCTGAGGTGCCTGGCTCTTCTGCAAAGTCCAAGTGACCGTGAAAGTTACACGTCTAGAGTCCATTCAGGACACTGAGGCTGCCCCAACAGCACGACTGGAGGCACTCGCGACAGAGGTCTTCCAGCACTGCTTCAGAAAGTGACAGGAAGAATGGGATGCAGTGTTGCAGGCGAGGGGGAGGATTTGGAGGATCAATGACAACACGTCTTTGACTGTAAAACCATTTTGAAGAATTTAAGCAGCCATTGTCTTTGCGATCACTCATTTTTAATAGTCGCCTTAATTTTAGACCTTTGACTTTTGCACTGGAAAGAACTCCACCACTCCACCCTCCATTCTCTTCCAACACCAGCGTTTCCTCTCAGCTCTGGTGCAATCCAGGGTGAGAGTAAAACAGTCAAAGGGCTCCCACTGCACTGCCTGAAAGAGGCAGAGCCAGAGTAAAGAAAGGCAGACCAGACCCTGCGGAGAGCT